GGGGGGCGGGGGCGGGAAAAGGACCCCGCCCCAGCCTCTGCAGCGTGGCTCCTGCAGGTCTCCCCTCGAAGCAGGGCCTGTGGCTGTGGTGCTCACTGCTAATTAACAGGCATGGCTGCTAGTTTTTAGCCCTGTTGTTTAGTGAAACAATACAAATACATTCTTCAGGTGATTTGGGGTAGAAAGTGCATGTGCAGAGGTTAAAAAAATCCGCAATGTTTTAGGCAATTCATCCTGCAGTAAGGAAATACTCCAGGAAGTAGTTTCCATTTTCCATGGAACCACACTCAATTTCAATTGCTTTGTACACCACTTAAAAACAGGAGGATACTCCTCACACCTCCTCTGTGTAAGGATGGTTCAGTTCCCTCATCTCGTGTATCTCCCTGCAGTCAGGTGTCTGGTGCTGCTGGGACCGGACTTTTTCTCCTGTCAGTGCCCAGTGACTTGCAAGTGGCTGCTGCAGCAGAGCCCAGCTCTATGGTGTTCCTCATCCTCCATGTCCCATCAGGGTATCTGCTGGGTTACTGCACAGCGAGGGCAGGAAGGTGGTGGAGTAAACGGGCAGACCTTAGCTCATGTCCATTGACTCTGAGGTGGGGAGGGAGGCAGAATCCTTCTGAATGCTCTCAAAGAGCGATGCCATTTCAGGACTGGATCTGATCTGGGATGAAAACTCAGCCATCACTGGACTTTTCTCTACTTCAGGGATGGTCAGGAGAGCAGCTACGGCTCTCATGGCAGATCGCTTCAGCTCATCCTGCTTCTCAAACTCCTGCTTCACGGAACCGGCTTTAACCTACAAACCCAAAGCACCGTTTTCAGCTGGCGTTTAGAAAACGTGGTGCAGGCAGGAGGAAGAGAACACGCAGCAGAGAAGGGGCCAAGCAGAGCACTGTCCCACCGGAGGAGCGTGGGGAACAGCTGCTCAGCAGCAGGGACGGGCAGCCAGCAGCAGAGCCTCGTGCAAAACCCACCCCAGCACATCCCACTCCTTGGTCTCACCTTTGTGGAGCAGGTTGCCCGGAGGGGCTCAACCAGCCTCTCAAGCCGCTGCAGCACGGCGCTGGGGCAGAGCGTGGACAGCCGAGCCAGCATGATGAAAGTCAGCATCTACACCAGGAGGAAAAAGAAAACCACGTTACTCGTCTGTGCCCAACGGCCCCAGGCCCGCAGCAAGGACGTGCTGCTGAGTCCATGTGGCCACTCTCCCTGCAGTGACATGTGGCACCCACAGGGCTGCGAGTCCCTGTGCACCTGGCAAGGGGGTTTAGTGAGAGCTCTGGGTGCATCAGACACGCAGGTGCTGGCAGCCAGTGCACTGGAGTTCTCCGGCTGGGCTGGGGTCCCTGGCATGCACCCAGCACAGCGGTTCTGCAACCACTGTACCCATGTCTGAGTGGAGGCAAATCAAATAGCATATGGAAGGGATGTTGTGCTTCCTATTGAGCTGTGAGGCCATCATCGACGACAGTGCTAATTCTTTGTTAATCGAGTGTCACTGCCACACTGAGCAAGTGACAAATCACAAGTTTAAAGGCAGAAGAAACTTATTTTAGACTTTGTGAAGTTCTCTATAAACCCAGCTACACCAGGGTTGTGTTTTCAAGGCCACCAGGCCAATCTAGAGCTGGACAGCCTCAGATGAAGGCTGCGGCAGCTGCAGAGAACAGGAACTGGCATGGCAGGGGCACTCCGTGCTGTGGTGACACACCAGCTCAGTTCAAACCCAGGCCCCAGGGAAGGAATTACGTGAGGAACGTGCCTGCCCTCCCTCAGCTCGGGCACAGCACCTACCCGAATGTCGTAGTGATCCTTCAGTCCATCCTCCACATGGTTCAGGTACTCGTAGATATCCAGTCGGTCAAGGCAGCTTTCCAGCAGTGTGTACATACATTCAAAAGCAGCTTTCCTCACGTCAAGGCCATCATCCACCGTGTGCTTGAATGGGCCCATTTCTACCTTAACAAGACAAAAACCCACCCGTCACCGGGCAGCAGAGGGGTGAGAGCCGCGCTGGGCTTCACGCGCTGCATCTGCCGTGCTGCACCCCGAGGACTGCGGCCGTACCTCCCGGATGAGCTCCCGTCGGACCTTCGTTTCGTTGTACAGGCTGGGGAGAACTGCAGGGAGCAGATCGCGGATTAGAGACGGTTTGTTGTGAGCAGCAGAATTAAACAAGGCTAAAGCCACCCGTCGAACGTTCAGGTCCGGGTCCTGGAGTGTTTTTAAGAAGTCACCTGTGGGACAAGACCGCACCAGTCAGTCCTGCTGCAGCGACTGAGACGTATCTAAAAGTACCCACAGTGTTTTCCAAGGAGCCTGGTTACAAAAACACCTCGGGTAAAGTAACTCTAGAGGCACAGTCTAGCAGAGACATTGGAGATGCTTCCCCTCCCTTCATTTGGGATATGGTGAATGGAAGCAACATCACTTCCCTGCATTTAGCCATAAAAACAAGCTGCGTGATTCCAGCTGCCTCATCCTGACATCAAATCAGAAGCTTTGGATTCAAGTTGGGGTATGATTTTTTTCTTGCTCAGATCTCAACTGTTCAGACTTCTCTGAAACAGAAGGCCTCATTTTATACAACAGACCCGAGATGTTGACTCCCTAGACATAAGACCCTTTTGATGTAGGTTATGTTTTCCAAGATCCCTCTTGTGAGACACTTAAACACTGAAGGAAATTACACTCCCTAAAAACCTCTGTTGCCCATGCAACATGCCTGAGAGCAAGGCATCAGAGCATTCAAAAAAGACCCATGTCACAATGTTGCTCTTTAATCCCAAAAGCAGATAAATACAGATTAAAAATAACTGGATTAGATGAGGTTCACATAAGTGTGAAAAATCCCAGAGCTGCAGTGACACCTAGCCTCTCTCATTCCCAGCTCACCCCCTGTTTGCACTGCCCTACCTATGCAGCCTTTCAGGAGGGCATCGATGGGCTGAGGTTGGTCTGCAATTGTGAATTTGACTGCAGTCACCACCGTGCTCCGGGCATGGGGAGAGCCTGTGGTGAGGATGCAGAGAAAAAACAATGAAAGATCAAGAGGTAAAATCACTGCTGTAACCCTGTGGTGCACACACTGCTCTCGGTCGCATTACACACGCATTGAAGAGATAGGAGAACAGGATTTGTCCCCACAACCTCCTTGTGTAAACCAGCAGTTTACAAGGTGGCATTCCCCACTCTCCCGCTGCCCTGCCCTTACCTGATGGCAGCTGGTTTTTCAGCCGGGGCAGCAGCTCGGAAGGATTCACCAGAGTCAGCTTCCCCAAGCACTCGGCCACCACATTGCGCGTCCCCTCCTCTGTGCACTCGCAGTGCTTGAAAAGCAGAGCCCAGATATCCTCCACGTAGGGTTTGAGGCCATCGGCCGGGGAGGCACTGATCACTTCTTTCAGAGAGTGCAGCAGGAGGTACTGCCTCTTGGGCTGGCTTCCGATCTCTTTCAGCATGAAGGGAAGATACTCCTTAAGATTCCCAACGCTGACATTCCCCAGCGCATAGGAAGCGGCGGATTTCACCTCTTCGCTGCTGGATGTGAATGCTTCCAGGATGACAGTTCTGAGCTCCCGCTGAGCACTGAGGTTGGTGGTGCGCCCCATCTCTGCCAGCGAGAGGAAAGCCAGCACCTTCACAGCAGAGCTGGACTTGGGGGTCTTTACATCCTGGATAAACTGGTTCACTGTCGCAGGGGCTTCCTTGGGGCAGGCTGAGGAGAGGGCTGCCACGCACTTGGCGACAGAGTAATAGGCCTGTTTGTGTAACGTTGGAGCCCCGGCTGCACCAGAGCAGTAAATGGGCGCAGTCAGCTGCTTCAGCAGCTCCGTGTACCCCACCGGGGCCGCCTTCGTCAGCACCAGAGCATGGAAGAAGTCTATGATGGCGTTCAGAGCCCCTCCCTGAAGCAAAGGTGAGTGGATGAGCTGCAGGATTTCAGCAAGAACCAAGCCGCTGATCTTAGAGATGCAGGATGGATAAACCTGAGCCAAAGTAGTAAGGAACATGACAGCCACCTGGGAAACATGCATGTCGTTCTCCGTGATTAAAGCAGGGAGCTCCGTCAGGACAGACTCTATCATGGCAGGCTTGAGGCTGTCACTGTAGTTCTTCACCAGGATGTCCAGGGCAGTCAGGGTGCTCAGTTTCAAGGCACGTTGATTCTTTCTCAAGAAGGAAGCTAGAATGGGGAAACCTTCCCCTAGAACGGGTCTCAAATCTATTTTAAGTGGAGAACTAGCAATTAAGGTTAATGCCTTGACTGTTGTCAATCTGGTGATTTCATTTTTGAGCCT